TTACCAAACATGAGTGGAAGTCAGGTAGGTAGTTGGAGTTTAGAGTTTGGGAGAGAAAACTGAGCTGCAAGTGTACATTTGGGAGTTACTGTCATAGAGACAGCATTTAAAGCCATGAGCCTGGATTAATTAATTCATCTAGGGAGTGAGTATAGGTAGAGAAGACCAAGGACGGACCATGGGCCATTGCAACATTAAGAGAACAGAAGAGAACCAACCAGCACAGGAGCTTTTAGCCTCAAAGAGCCGATGATCTGTGAACCTGGGAAGTCAGTCCTCTAAGTTGAGGGATGAGCTTGAACAAGAGCGTGATGCTGGGGGAAAAAACAGATTGTTGATAACCAGGAGCAGATGTGTTTAGTATTCATGTTTTTTAAGAATAGTTTTCTGTTGAATGGAGGCTTATTCACATTTAGGTTGATAATGTTAGTGCAGAGTTTAAGATTCTATTATCTAACTGGATTCATTAATTTACCCTCCCTTGCCTATTTTTATTTGGTCTCTAATGAAACTCACATTTCCTGTTTGGAGTACTCTCTTGTAAGGGGTCAAACAAGGATCAACAATTTATTTTGGTAAAGGGCCAGATAGTAAATATCTCAGGCTTTGCAGGCTGTATAGTCTCTGATGCAGCTACTCAACTTGTCTGTTGTAGTGGGGAAGCTGCTACAGGCACATAAACGATGAACATGGCTCTGTTCCAATAACACTTGATTTCGGACACTGAATTTTGAATTTTATGTAATTTTCATGTTTCACAAAATATTATTCTTTTATTTTTTCCCGCTACTTAAAAGGTAAAAAAGTCATTCTTCGTAGGCTGTACAAAGATAAGTGGCAGGCTGGATTTGGCCTACTGGCTGTAGTTTGCTGACCTCTGGCTTAAAAGATTTTTTTTTCCAAGTCAACTTTGAACCAGATCATTCTGCCAAATGCATTGTTTTTTTTTGGGCGGGGGATTTATTTATTTATTTGTGGCTGTGTTGGGTCTTTGTTGCTGTGCGTGGGCTTTCTCCAGTTGTGGTGAGCGGGGACTACTCTTTGTTGCGGTGCGCGGGCTTCTCATTGTCGTGGCTTCTCTTGTTGTGGAGCATGGGCTCTAGGAGTGTGGGCTTCAGTAGTTGTGGCACGTGGGCTCAGTAGTTGTGGCTTGCGGGCTCTAGAGCTCAGGCTCAGTAGTTGTGGCACATGGGCTTAGTTGCTCTGCGGCATGTGGGATCTTCCCAGGCCAGGGCTTGAACCCATGTCCCTTGCATTGACAGGCAGATTCTTAACCACTGCGCCACCAGGGAAGCCCCAAATGCACTGGTTTGAAATCAGTTACAAAGTGGGTTGGCCAGACTCTTTTGAGTCTGTTTTCAACCGCTGTTTATGCTGATTTGCATTGTCCGTGTGGCGTTATACGTGACATATTAGTCTCTTTGATGGGTGAGTGGTCTGGGTGACCTCTAGGATCTAGTTCACGTCCACGATTCTAGTCCAGTGATTTTCTTAAAAAAAAAAAAAGAGAAAGAAAGAAATACTCAAAATTCTTTTGAAACTATCCTTCATAGCTTCTGCAGCACTGTGGTCTCCCAGAGTTTCTTCCTGTGACCTTTCCCTCTCATTTTCCTTCTCAGGCTCCTGACTTGAATGTCCTGTTCCTGCGCTCTGTCCTCAGGCCTCTTCTTTCTCCCTTTTTCCACTCTCCGTGGTGACTTCCATCAGACTGTGACTTCAGTTACCACCTCTGCAACAGAGACTAACACGTGTGTATGTAGCTCTGACTTCTCTTCTGAGGTGGAAAGCAAGGTTTCCCATTAGCTAGAAGTTAAAATCCAAACTCCTGAGCCCAGCCCACACTAACTCCCTGTGCACTGCCTGGCAACTGGACTGGGCTGTTGGGCAGCTTCCAGCACGTCATCCATCCTTCTGCTGCGTTGCCTTTGCCCTTGCTCTTCCCTCTGCCAACATTACCCTCTCTCCTTGCTGCCGTCTCCCTCCCTGCTAATTCCCAGCACACCCCAATTTGATACCCTGCCCTTTGAGAACCCACTCAGAGGGCCACTTACTCTGCAAGATTCAGCTTAATGCCTGTACTTCTTGGAAGCCGTTTCATAGACAAGGTTCAATGTTTCCTCTGTGTGCTCACGATATCTTATGCACATTTCCATTGTAGCCCTTGCCTTTATTGCTCTGTTAGGTCAAAAGTCCTTGAATATTGGTTGAACATCAAATATATTTATAAGTTGGTACCTTCACTAGACAATTCTTGGGAGCAGAGTTTGGGTCCCGCTAATCTTTGTAACCCCAGAGCCTGACATTTAGAAGATACTTAATTTGTGTTAAAAAAAAAAAAAAGAATGATTCCATGAGGACATGCTTATATGGGCTACACTGACTTTGATACAAATTAAAATATATTGACAGTCGTAGGCAAAATTAGACCTTTTTATGACTATATTTTATGTCTTTAACTATATTTATCCTTTTCTGTTGTAGGAGGAAAATTCTTCCCAGGATGGTCTCCCATTCAGAGTTGAGGAAACTTTTCTGTTCAGCTGATGCAGTGTGCTTTGATGTTGACAGCACAGTCATCAGAGAAGAAGGAATTGATGAGCTGGCCAAATTCTGTGGAGTTGAGGATGCTGTGTCAGAAATGTAGGAACAGTATTTATTCACCTTACGAAATGATAAAGAATTGCAAAGGAAGAGTGACTTTTGGATGACATGCAGGACCAGAGCCCAGAGCCTGATCTTAGTCCCTGCCTATGAAACATGGGCACTAGGCTTTTTCCTCCATCACTGAGAGCTGAATTTGGTAGTGTACATCATCCAACCATCCCTTTGTACAAATATTTATGGCAAAAAAATATATGGTTGCCTCTGACAAACAAATATGGATGACATACTCTTAGCTTGGTCAGGGGAATGATGACGACAAGTAACCAAAGAAGATGACCTGGGGGGTCTCCAGGGGTCCAGTGCTGTGTGGCCTTAGTGGTTTGTTAGAAAGCTAGTTACAGTTCAGAGTCTCTCCATGGATGCCTGGGTGAGAGTCCCTCCCTCCCTCCTGCCCTCCCTGTGTCACCTGCAGTCACTAGGTCATGGACCATTTCATGTTTAGCTTCCTTTGATGCAAGAGTACAGGGCCTTTGGTTTCTTTCTTGGTTTACAAACACTCACAGCTTCCGAGGCAGGTACCTGTGGATGGTATATGTGGTTTTCTTAGCTCACTGGATGGTGTATTTGTGGATGCAAAGGATAAAGGATTCTCTTTACTGATGTCTTTTGTGCATTGGTCTCATTTGCTCTGCAAAATAGACTTAGGCTATTTTGGCTTCAAAATATTAATGCGATTCTCAAGCAAACCTTCAGTAGTTTATCCCAGGCCTCACTCACTCCCATGGCCATGTACCACGTCTGTTGTATGGTGGGGCACCTTCCTTGTGCGTGGACCTTGTGAGGAGCGGGGGAGGGTAGGCGTGTAAACTTCGAAGACAGCACTTAGCTGGCCTGATTTTTGGGTCTTCCTCCTAGGACACGGCGAGCCATGGGCGGGGCAGTGCCTTTCAAGGCTGCCCTCACAGAGCGCTTAGCTCTGATACAGCCCTCCAGGGAACAGGTGCAAAGGCTTATAGCAGAGCACCCACCACACCTGACCCCCGGCATAAGGTAAGGGGCTCCCCGGTTTGGGTGCACTATCTCCCTATCAACACCTGCATTTGGGGGCATGTCCTCCTGAGGGTATCTCACCATTACTTTAGAGCTCCCTTCTTCGTGGTTCCTTTGGTACTTGTATATGGTCTTGTCTGCTAGTTGGTCCTGCCCACGTCTGCCCTCCCTCTCTCCCCACGGAGAGCCTAAGCCTCCTCTTCTTCTTGTGTTTCTGGGTCCATGGGCAGAACAGAGTTGTGGAATGGTTTCCTAAAGCAGTTAAGCCCCACCCACTAATTTCTAAGTGCTTTTAGAAAAACATATAAAACATTAATTCATTAGGCAGTATACCTTGTCTGATGTACCTTGGGCAAATGCGTTTGGAGAAAAAATGTATTTGAGTTTCCTTTTCATGTTTCATGTTTTCTCTTTTATGTTAATCAGCATTTGGTATTTTATATGTTTTTTGTTTTTATTTTTTCAGGGAGCTAGTAAGTCGCCTACAAGAGCGAAATGTTCAGGTTTTTCTAATATCTGGAGGCTTTAGGAGCATTGTGGAGCATGTTGCTTCAAAGCTCAACATCCCATCAACCAATGTATTTGCCAACAGGCTGAAATTCTACTTTAATGGTAAGTCTTTAATAGTAACATTTTCTCCTTCTTATCAGTTTTAGTATTCAATATCCTAGGTAATGTCTGTTGGAATGCAACTCAAGCAAGGTGGCATCAGAGTTAAATGCTGAGGTAAAGGATTCTCTTTACTGATGTCTTTTGCACCTTGGTATCGTTTGCCCTGCAAAATAGACTTAGGTCATCATCTCTCCTACCTTTAGTATCCATATAATCATCTATCTGTATATAAATGTCTGTACTGAGTAAAATGTTAGTTCTTATGTAACCCTAGTGACTTATTTTGTTATGCATCATATTTCAGTTCTATGAAAGCTCTCATGTATCTGAATCAATTTAGACTCAGGAAGGAGAGTTAATTTGTGAGCAAGTTGCTGCACTTTAGCTGCCTTTGGAGGCGCCTCCTGGCCCCTCTCTGGACCATCACAGAGCCACAGCTGTAGTTTTCTGTCATCTCAAGATGTCTCCAGTTATGTCAAGGGGTGGCTGACATTCTTAAAACCAAATAATATTAATTAAAAATAATTTAAATGTGTTAATAGAACACTTTTTAAGGGTCTATAGATAGAAATCATTAAAAAAAAGAAGTAGAGAATAAGTGTGGTAATTACTGTAAGAATGGAAATAATCCATCAAATATAAATTGGAATCTCCTCTTAGATGAAATTGTATATCAACATATTTTAAATTAATATATTACTATTTCATGGTGTTCTGCCACCTCAACAAGTTTTGAGAATTATGACACTGGAAGCTTAGAGGATAAAATTAATTTACCCCTAGATGTTTATCATCTAAAGGAGTAACCTTGACAAGAGGTGTTTGTAATTTAAAAGCAAAGCTTGTTCATTCTGAGGAATAAGTGAGAAAGTCCAGGCTGTGTCACTTTACTGAAGGCTGTTTTTAGCTTTGTGAGTGACATGAAAGTGAGGCTATCATCTATGCAAAAGGCTGGCCCTACTGATACAATCCTGTGGATCTTTAACACTGTTTTAATGGCTCTTTTAAGGTGAATATGCAGGTTTTGATGAGATGCAGCCAACAGCCGAATCTGGTGGGAAAGGAAAAGTTATTAAACTTTTAAAGGAAAAATTTCATTTTAAGAAAGTAGTCATGATTGGAGATGGAGCCACAGACATGGAAGCCTGTCCTCCTGCTGTATGTATTAAGTGTACTAATTTTTTTGCGTTTGTACTTTTACTGTTGACAGCTGACTTAGAACTCAGTACAATTTGTGAGAGTTAAACAAAAACCTGTATCAGCCTAAAATAAAAAACCAAAATAAATAAAACAAATTCAATCTCAATATATTAATTCACTTTTTGCAAACCCAAGGAGGGTTGCAAATAAGGAACTTAAAAACCTTTTAAAACTTTCAAAGACCCCTGTCCCTGCAGGATGGCTGCCACCTCTTAGCCCGAGTATGTGCTCAACAAGGTTTGGCTTCATTTCCACAAATAATGCAGCTCTTATTACTATAACCAAAATTTTAATGTTTTATATTTGATAAACTATTTCCTCATACGTTATCTCATTTAATCCTCGTAACAGCCCTGTGAGGTAAAAGTATTATTTTCTCCTTTTTACTGATCAGGGAACTGAGGCTCAGGGAGGTTTGATACCACGCCCATATTAAGGCATTTTATTCCTCTGAATTAACATTGTTTTCTGAGACTAGCAGGAAACAAATGCTATATAGCCAATATCTTAACTTATCACATGTCCCTTTCACGTAGGACTTTGACTATATTGTCTTGTTCTGACTTAAGAAAAACTGAACCAAAAATATAGTGGTGAACGTTTTACTACCTAGTTTCCTGAGATCTAAAAATAGCATCTTTCTGTGTCAATGATTAAGCATTCGTGGTTAAAGAATCTTTTGGGCTCCTTCTAACACTACTTGAGTCAGTTCGAGATAACACATTCTTAGATGATTTATAGCCGATGTTGGGGTCGACTAAGTAGTGAACGCCGGGCTAGTTGAATAGCAAGGCATAAAATGCAGGGCATAATACAAGGCATAAAATGCAGGATTCTCTCAGGGGGCCCCCTGATCCCGGTGTCCAGAAAGAGCAAAATTACAAATTCCAGATGACCCTACCAGTCAGAAAATGATACAGCCTGACTGAACCAAGGGAAATTGGTGTGCATGCAGGTGTGTAGCCCTGGAAGGTGGTCAGAGGACTCTGTGCCCTAAAGGACGGTTAGCAGCCTCCATGTGGAGGCCTGGCAGGACTTGGCGGGGTGGATGTGTGTGTGGAATTTCTAGAGGGAGGGGAAGCATGGTCCTAGGCACGAGTGAGCTTTCTCTTCAGCAAGAGAAGAAGACCCCACATACCAGGCACTCTGGTGTTACCTTTGGGTCCTGGGAAGCCCTGGAAGGCTTCTGGACCAAGAAGGAACAAGTCAGTGTGTTAGGACAGCTGAGCTGGTGCTGGCATGCAGAAAGGGCTGCAGCAGAGGCAGGGAGCTCAGTTAGGAGGAGGCTAAATTTAACTAGAAGGGAAGCATCTAGTTATTCCCCCACCCCGCCCTTGTATGGTATGAAAATAAAAATGAAGACAAAGGTCAAGTAAGAGAATTTTGCACTTCTAAATTAGTGTATATTGTGTCTGTAGCCTGGCAGAAAAAGAGAAAATACCATTTAAAAAGATCATTGACTAAAAGAAGGTATCATTGAGCAGAAATTAATGAAACAATGTAACTTTAAATAATTCTACCAGTGAAAAGTAGAGTGCTGCTAACATACTCTGGGGTTGTCATCTCCTTCAGCCCAGAATAACATGCCCTCCTGGGAGGGAGGTCCCTCAGTTTCACCCAGGATGCCAGCCGGGAGATACCTGCTCTGGTCCTGATTCCAGGCCTCGGGCATTTCCACGGCACCACAGGCTTCTCTTTGATCTTCTTTCTCTGAAATTGTCTGGCCTGGACGTGATTGCCACCTAGTTTAGAACTCAGATGTTTACCACCTGGTGTGGTTTTATTTTTGTAAGCAATTGTCTTGGTTTTCAGAGGGCTTCAGTTCTCCTGAAGCTCACAATGTCCAGCTGAATGCATCTGCAGCAGTGGTGGTCAGACTCATTCATTCTCAGGGCAGGACGAGGGCAGGCTCCCGGGGAGCTGGGGAGGGAGGTGCCCCAGGTGAGCTGGGCTCACCTCTCTTTGCACAGAGTTTATTCTTTTAAACAACACTTACTGCTCTAGGCTGCTGCTGTATCTTTGTCTCTCTCTTTTAAACTATTTCCCTTTTGTTCTCTTCTTAGGATGTTTTCATTGGATTTGGAGGAAATGTGATCAGGCAACAAGTAAAGGACAACTCGGAATGGTACATCACTGATTTTGTAGAGCTTTTGGGAGAACTGGAAGAATAAGATCAGTTTTTATACAGTTCATAGCAACTTCAGGTTAATTTTTAAAAGTTATACAGTTTGATACTGTTTGCTTCCAATTGCATATTAGGACTTAATATATAAATGTAGTACTGATTATCTGTACTTCCAAGTAAACTATAGTTAGGGCTCGTAGAACATTGTGGTTCTTTTTTTTTTTTTTTAACTGTAGTTCCGGTATTATTATGACCATTTAATTACCTGGAGAGTTTTATAATTTGAATTTTTTATGTATTTTCCTAGCTATATTTTATTTGAAGGCTTTTGAAGGTGGATAGTAAATTAAACACCTTCATTATTGGAAATATGGATTAGGCAGCTTTAAGTGAAATTGGTTTTCCCTTTATATATAAATAAAAGTTTATCCACATATCAGAACAGATTTGTAGAATTTTTTTTTTTCTTTTCTTTTGAGCCACACCACGCAGCTTGTGGGATCTTAGTTCCCCGACCAGGGATTGAACTCAGGTACTCAGCAGTGAAAGCACTGAGTCCTAACCCACTGGACTGCCAGAAAATTCCCGATTTGTAGAATTTTTAATTCTGCCTATCATGTATTTCAGTATCCAGTAATTCAAGTATTTAAGTGTTTGAGTAGAAACGACCTCCGGGCAAGGAACCAAGGAGTTGAGACCCTCCTGAGCACAGGGCAGAGTGCTTGTCACAGTGAATCCACCACTCAGCCCCCGCCACTGAGGGAAACGCTGGGCCAGAAGGATGGAAGTGCTTTTACTACCTCTTGGTATTTGTCATATAGGGAATGTTACAAAGATTTTTTTAGAAAGATAACCATGGTGCCTTAAACAAAAGTACTGACCTTAAAAAATGGATATTTGATAATCACATGAACTAGGAGAACTGAAAACAAGTTTTACTCATCCCAAATGAAGATCAGTGTTTGCCCTTAAATGGATTAAGAAATAACTCCTCAGAACATATATGAACCATTTCTTTCTTACAGAGGTCTTGGGAGGACCTGAAAGCCCAGGTTCATGTTTATTCTGAGTAGCGCCTTGAAAGGGACATTTCAGAACATGCTTTGAAAGTAGGAGATTATATTCTCTCCCTGGTGGGAAAGTGGGGAGGAAGACAGAGACACAGGTTTAGGAAGAGGCAGGCCATGAGTGGATACTATTGGATAATTAAGTAGAAAAGGCCGGAAGGGTTTAACATTGGGAGTTATTTGAAAAATTTATAATTTAACCAAATAATCAAATTTGGCCAAATTGTCAGATAATTATTTAGCCAAATAATCAAATCAGATGAATCAAGCTTCCTTCCAGATCAAAGTTTCTGTAGGAGAGCCATGAAATAAGTTTGGCAACCTTTAACCGAGACCCCAGATAGCGAGGCAGTTGTTTTGTAATTGTGAGTGCTCGCTGGCAGCTCTCTTCGAAGCTGTTTTGTGGTGTTGGCACTCTCAGAGGTGCAAAGCAGGCAGGGCCAGGCATGCCAGGCCTGTGAAGGGTGCTTCAAACTGTTTCAGCCTCTGCTACCACCCTGTGTGCATAAACTGGAGCAAGCCGGGTGGGCAGGTTAACTTCTATGAGCTTGTTTCCTGTCTGTTAAAAATAGGGCAGTGATATCTGACCTCAGGGCTATGAGAATCACATGAGGAACATGTGAAAACACCTTGGAAAATGTGAAAATAGGCAGGGTGACTTATGGTCAGATCACTCCCCAAGTTTTCTGAACCTGATCATAAAGATTCTGAGGGTCATAGAGGCAAAAGCCACCATGCTGTGCCGTCCGTTCTAACTGCCAGGCCTTCAGAGCCTGCCCTCCACTGGGCAGCAGCCTGAACAGGGGGGGGGTTGCATGCTGAATTTGGCTCAGAGGAGTCTGATCTGCTGAGGAATCATGATACCCACAGAGAACCTTTTATACCAATTATACAGCCCCTCCTCTGGCCCCCAGGCTGCCCAGCTCTCACAAGCTGCACAAAAGCAGCAGGCACAGTCCGTTCTTTGTTGTGTCAGAGGGGTGAGTTTGAAATGTCCCAAGAAATGTGCTAACCTCTTTCATGCTTTTCTAATTCTGGACTCACTGGAAACAGCGACCGAAAGGCTCTCCCAGGAGTTATGTATATGGTGACACCAGGACAGGATTCAGAAAGTAGTGGCAGTGTTATGTGGCTTCCTATCCTTGTGACACCCACCATTTTTCATTCTGATTATGAGCATTGGGTTATGTAAAAAGAAAAAGATTGAGAATTGCATTCTCGCTCTCTCTTCCAGTGGAGACAAGTGTTTCTCCATGACATCTAGGGAGGCCCATCTGGCTGCCATTCCCAAGAGCAGGGGGCAGCATTCTAGACCTGGGGCAGGAGTGTAGCAAGAGATTCCAGAGACTGAAGTAGTCGGCCTCAGTAAGTGACGGCACGGCTTGCTGGCTTTCGCCTCCATGACCCTCAGAGTCTTTGTGATCAGGTTCAGAAAACTTGGGGAGTGATCTGACCATAAGTCACACTGCCTATTTTCACATTTTCCAAGGTGTTTTCACATGTTCCTCATGTGATTCTCATAGCCCTGAGGTCAGATATCACTGCCGTGTTTTTAACAGACAGGAAGCAAGCTCGGAGAAGTTAATGACTGCTACAAGGTCACATTCAGAGCTGGAACCCAGGCCAGTGATTTCCACAGCATTCCTTATCTTATGCATTACTAGAGTGTTAACAATTTACTGGGGCTGAGAGAATCCACCCTGAACTGTGATCACAAGTGTTAACATATATTAATACAGTAGATAAAATTTTACTTCCTACGATGGAAGACCTGTTTTGCAAAAAATACAAGTGGTTTCATTTTTTAAAAAAATTTATTTATCTATTTATTTTCGGCTGCATTGGGTCTTGGTTGCTGTGCACGGGCTTTCTCTAGTTGCGGAGAGTGGGGCTACTCTTCGTTGCGGTGCATGGGCTTCTCATTCTGGTGGCTTCTCTTGTGGAGCGCAGGCTCTAGGCATGCAGGCTTCAGTAGTTGTGGCACATGGGCTCAGTAGTTGTGTCTCATGGGCTCTAGAGCACAGGCTCAGTAGTTGTGGCGCATGGGCTTAGTTACTGCGTGGCATGTGGGATCTTCCCTGACCAAGGCTCGAACCTGTGTCCCCTGCATTGGCAGGCGGATTCTTAACCACTGCGCCACCAGGGAAGCCCTCTATTCTCTTTTCTATCTTTACAGTTTGGCCAGGATTTTGTTGCAGGCAGGCAGGATACGCTCTAGAAATATCCTTGACTATGCTTTAAAGTGTTTCTACCCCCATTGTAGGATTAAGATGGTCACCAAACTATCTGGGCTATGGTAATAAGACTGGAGAGCTTACCTGCTGTGTTAATCAGCACTTCAGGAATGGAAGAGGGTGACCCATGGTTTCATTTTTAATGGTTAACTGAACTCTGGAAAAAGTACTAGTTTTAGTACTAGTTAACAGAGGACTCTTCAGTACTTTGCTTATCACAGTTTCCAACTCTGAGCATATTTCTGTATATGTTTATTGTCTTCCTTTTAAATTGTTTTTATGGAGCTTATCTAGGCAGAATGTATTTCTAAGGATTTCTAGAATATGAAAATAGTAGGAATAAAGGCACGGCAGTATCTGCTTTCTGAGAGTCCCATGTATTTTCCAATTAGAACTGACAGTCTCTATAAAGATTTTTTTTTTTTTTTTTGCTGAACAGCATCTGGGATCTTAGTTTCCCCGACCAGGTATCAAACCTGCGCCCCCTGCAGTGGAAGCTTGGAGTCTTAACCACTGGACCACCAGGGAATTCCCAGAACTGACAGTCTCTATACTTTCCTTTTCCCTTCCTTCCCTTTTTCCCTCTCTTCATTCTGTCGACTCATCAAGCATATTACTGAACATCTACTATGTCTCAGCCAGAAACTGAGAGTATAAATTTAATAAGAAATTTAAAAGTTTAATGTAGAACTGAAGAAAAGGATATTTCACAGGCAGCTGTGAGAATAAGGGGAAAGAAGCAGATTCTGTCAAGTGCTAGTTGGGAGGAGAGAAAAGTGTGGTTCCAAGAGGGCTTTTAACACGTAGTAGGGATGGGTTTCCCTAGTGGCGCAGTGGTTGAGAATCCACCTGCCAATGCAGGGGACACAGGTTCGTGCTCTGGTCCGGGAGGATCCTACATGCCGCGGAGCAACTAAGCCCGTGTGCCACAACTAGTGAGCCTGCGCTCTAGAGCCCGTGAGCCACAACTACTGAAGCCTGTGCACCTAGAGCCTGTGCTCCACAGCAAGAGAAGCCACCGCAATGAGAAGCCTGCTTACCACAACTAGAGAAAGCCCGTGCACAGCAGCAAAGACCCAACACAGCGAAATATAAAATAAAATAAATAAACAAATAAATAAAGTAGTAGGGATGATATCACATGAACTATAATTAAAAATTAGTTGGCTTATATAAGTAGTAATCACCAGACTTATACCCAATGAATGGAAAGTGAGTTTGGAAGTTTTGAATACTGCCAGGGAAAATTAATAGTTGGACAAATTAATATAATTTGTTCTATTCTGGGGGTTTAATAAAAGAATTTGACAAATTGGGCAGGAATTGCTAAAATAAAGCATTAATTTGATAAATTAGCTTATTAATAGAATGTTCCTGTCAAAAGTCACCAAGTGACCACTGTGTTGCTAAGTTAATGATCCGTTGTCAGCCTTCATCCAACCCAGCCTCGTAGTAGCATTTGACACAAGTTATCTCATCCTTGATGGACTTTCTTCACTTGGCTTTCATGATATCCCACTTCCTTGAGTTTCTTCCTGTTTCCCTGGTGGTGTCTCACTCTCCCATCCTGGTTCGTCCTCACCTTGGTCCTCTTCTCTGTCTACATTCACTTCCCACTGACTTTATTTTTATTTTTTTTAAATTTATTTTTATTTTTGGCTGCGTTGGGTCTTTGTTGCTGCACGCGGGCTTTTCTCTAGTTGCAGAGAGCGGGGGCTACTCTTCGTTGTGGTGCGCGGGCTTCCCATTGCAGTGGCTTCTCTTGTTGCGGATCACGGGCTGTAGGCGTGTGGGCTTCAGTGGTTGTGGCTCGCAGCCTCTAGAGCGCAGGTTCAGTAGTTGTGGCGCACGGGCTTAGTTGCTCCGCGGCATGTGGGATCCTCCCGGACCAGAGCACAAACCTGTGTCTCCTGCATTGGCAGGTGGACTCCCAACCACTGCGCCACCAGGGAGGCCCAGCTCCTTCAATTTTAAATCTCAGCTTTTCAGCAAGGCCAACTCTGATCAAATGTATATAATATTACGTACTGCCCCTCCCAACCCCCCCCTCAGTTTCCTGATCTCCATTACCCATTCTACCTTCTTCCACTACAGCATTTATCAACTTCTACCATACCATGTAGCTTACAGGGTTTTTTATT